TTAAGGATGAGAAGAGTAGGCAGACGAATCATCAACTTGAAAAATAAAATACTTACCGCTGCAATCCTTGCAAGAACCAAAAATATACAGGTTCAGGTTGAGAGGATACTCAGGTGTTATCTCCTTGAGTGCAAACCTCGGACAAAATGGATTGAAAAAAGCAGAGATAATTGGCTACTACTCCCTCTGTAAACTAATATAAGAGTGTTTAGATAACTAAAATAGTAATCTAAATGCTCTTATATTAGTTTACGGAGGGAGTACTATACACTTCGATTCCCTTCCGAAATTGCCATTTCCAACTTGGCAACAGGAAATTCGACACGTTCTTACGACTATAACAGTTTTCTGAAGTTCGCTCCTATGTGGATGTGGCTGACTCAAGCTTCACACAGTTCTGTGAGACCAAGTTCCCCAAAATCATAAAGCCGAGTCCAATCCCAGATGTTACCATCTCAAGAGACAGCTCTCAGAGCATAAAATAAATGAGTGGGTGACATAGACAAATATCATAAGAAAATTTATCCAGATTCCACCGGCTCCAGCCATGGGTTTGGAACTCAGGACCAGACAAGGAGGTCTAGTTGCATGATGGGCACAAACACAGGAGATATGTAATCACAAGGGTTGATTGTAAATACACCCATGTAAGATTGGCCATCGGTTCAATCTTGAAGCCAGAAATGACTGTGCTTTTTGAACATGATCTGATTATTTTTCTCATCGTGAAACAAATAGCCGGCAGAGCTGAAGATGCCACCATGTTTCCTCGTTTTTCTGTATAAAGTCACGTGTACTACCGTGAGCTTTAGACCAACCTTCCATTGCTCAAGCTCTCGCAGCTACAGTGCATAATAAATTCAGTAAAACATCTACCTGTAGTATTTGCACAAACATCTCTGTTTCACCTACCACCCACCACTGGAGAGGCAGCAATGAGGATTAATGCCCTGATAGCACATGGCAAGTTTGTAGTATTTGCACAAACTTGTGAGTTTCCTTGCGGCACGCGGCAACAGCATAGCACACGAATATATATATGTATAGCCTCCATGTCTGCATAAAAGCATTCAATATGGAAAAAAAGGGCTGCCCTGTTTGCAAAACGTTATGTACAACGAACAGGGGGAGCTACAAAGATTCATTGATAACAAGGTTACAGGTGACTCATGCAATTGCCTGTCGCGAATGACCCAGTCAGCTAGCAACTGTTTTTTTTCCTTCGACTTTGATACAAGCATCCGGTTTGGACAGGTAAACGATCGGCCATCGTTTTGTCCACAGATGCTCGTATATCCACTGTGCTTCCGTCCCTTGAGTTAGACCTTAGTGAGTTGTATGTCCTAGAGCCTGCACTGACAATTTCAACTGGTCAGACCCGAGCAGAATGATGCAACATCGTGTGATACAACAAGCCCGAGAAAGAATATATGGAAGAGCGGAAGCTTTTTGCTGTGTGCGCTAATTATTTGAGATTGTAAGAACATGGTGAGAATAAAAGGTCTTCATTGCACGATCATGCCAATATCACTACCACTGAATGGAACTCTAGGTAGTCAGGGGCATTTGTTCAGACATGGATTAATCAATTATGCACCAATTGGTGGCATCTAGTAATATTCCAGATGTGACATAACGTGTGATTGCAGCAGAGATTTCCACGGTCATCCTACCAGAAGGCTCTTAATAGATTGTTATGACCCACATCTCCCAACCATTAAAGATTGTTCGGGCTTACCAGCAGTGTTAAAATAAGATAAAAATAGGTTTATCTGCCGAAACAGTGGACTTGAATTACCTTCCACCGAGGGGAACAGCACAGAGCTCAGAAACGAGGAACTTTTGACAGAGGACCCACTGTAGATGTTGGTGAAGGATCTGCAACCGGACCTCTTGTCTGATGGTTGGCAATCGAATTATTAGCAACTAATTTATTGCTTGCGCTTCTAACTCCAGCAGCATCACACTCTGGCTGTTGGGGATCCACTACTGCCTTTACCTGTTGCAGTTCTACAATCCAGTCAACCTTTTGTTTGTGCATGTTAAAAACAGAGGCGCAGATGCAAGTAAAAGCGATTACGAAGAAGGCACATTCATTTCAAAAAATACACCGCACACATTAAAGTTAATATTTTTTCCATGTTAAAAGAGCAAAGACTATTTCAGTTTTCAGCCATGACCACAAAATGAGCAGATTAACATAGTCAATGGAGGCTGAAACTCCATCAGGTACTAACTGTTTGTACTGTGTGAGAAGACTACCGGCTTGTCAACTTCGAAAGCTGGAAAAGTGTAACACCCCCAATATGGGCTGCCACATTATGTATGTAACATGGGCTTTGGCTACGAGATGGGCTGGTCATCGGAGGCTTGGTTGCACACACAAGCTACATATGCAACCGGCAAGCACAGGAGGAGGGCATCGAAGGAATGAATCGTTCTCCAAGTCTCTCGTCCCCTGGCTCCAGTTCCTCACCTCCTGCTCTCTCTATTCCTCTCTTTGCTTGCTGATTCTCACCCCCGATTCTCCCTGTATCCCCCAATTTATACCCGAATATTGGTACTAATCCAGTTGCTCGTCCCATCCTTGAGTCTGGGTCGTGACAATTTGGTATTCAGAGCCAAGAAAAAAATCACCACCCACTTCCTGCCTACCAGGTGTTCGACCAAATGTCCAGCCACGAAGAGTTGTTCACCGGCGGCGTTCTCCATGTCACTGTGCACCATGTGTACTACCCGGTCACTGAGGAGACGCTGCAACAGGTGTTTACATTGTATGGTGTGGTGAAGATCTCCGTGTTCCAGAGAATCGACCATGTGGAGGCAGTGGTTCAACTTCGATCAAGACGCGGAGCAGCGCAGGCTCTTGCCATGCATGGTCGGTGCATCTATGAGCGTGCCTGCCTCCTCGACATCCAGGATGTGTCACCGGAGTACAACCTGCACTTGTGCTCGCTGCTCGAGCAGAAGCAGACTGCAACCGTGGCTGAGTACACGGTGGCGTTCTGGGAATGCGTACATCATGTGCTGGATCTCAACCCCAACCTGAGCATCAAGAGTTTCGTCCACCAATACATTGAGGGCTTGCGGGAAGATATCAAGGATGTCGTGCGGTCGCGATCTCCATTAAGCATCACCGGTGCTTCGTCCCTTGCCCGGATAAGGGAGGATGAAATCGTGCAGGAGGCGGCAATGGCTGCGGAGAAACTTGATGACGGCCATGGAGTTCACGTCCTCATGCCTACGGTGATCCTCACGGAAGTCTTCCTCGAGCTCACTGCCCCAGTGGAGTGCAGTGCAGACCACAACATCATCACCATTGACAGCAACAACCATGCTGCACCGACGCCTATCACATGTTTGACAGAGTGCCCGAGTCACGCTGCCGCCGTTGACATCTCCCCTAAGCTGGCAGCTTCTGCTCTATGCGGAGAGACCGTCGACATCGAAGCCATCAGTGTTGCTGCACCAACATTCGATGTGTGTTCTATTGTTGGTCCGACCAATGCTGAAGTCAACAGTTATGTGCCGGTGCCCCTCATTGTGTGGAGTGTCAACCCATTCTCCGCAGCTCCCCTCAAGGTCGTGCCAACCATAGCGCATTGGTCATGTTCCACCCCCAAACTGGACACCATGGCGTCAACAAGGTGTTGGACCCTCTGCCTCGACCACATTGGTGCGTTGACGCCCACATACATGCTGGATAAGAATGTGAACATAAGGCAACAAGCACAAATGTTACGACCAATGCCATGGCCATCATTTAAGTGCCATTCAGAAGCAAGCAGTCCTCAAGATCCACGTCCAGCAACTCAAGGTATATTTGGGAAACTATCTACATGTCAGCCACACGAGGATCTCAATGGTTGGGCTGCCAGTTTGGTCTTGCATTGGAATAGCTCATTTGATGGACACTATTTACAACTACTTGCTGCACTGAGAAGTTTCTGCTGTGAGTTATATTATATTGGGGGGCCCTGTGGTTATTGGCAATATGCGTATCTGCAGCAGTGGCGTTCATCTCAGCGAGAAAGTTATTCGAATTTTGGGAGGGCTGGCGATGCTATATTGAACACAAAACAAAAATCACAAAGTTTATTAAGTAGCATTCTTGTGGAACTTGTGAGTAGGCAAACCCCCGGAGTCGGCTATTTCTGCCAAACATCTGACCAGAAGAACAAAAGGCTTAATTACATTCCTGAAGTGGGTGAACAAGTTATGAGGTTGTGCTCTGTCGAACTGGCACCTTGGGCTTGTTCTGCATTACATTTCATTAAGCCCTACAGTTATGGGCTGGGTATGCGCATAATTGTGGAGTTGAAGCCTTGGCCAAAATGGAAAATCAATGGTCGTTGTGAGGGCATGGCTTTATTTTGGCGGTCTCCTCATATGGCATTCCCTGCAATATTTTCAGTAACTACGACCAACGTGTTGCACCAAATGGATTGGTGCTATGCTGTTCAGTGTGTACAACCAACTAATGCCATTGGCGATGCTGCTTTACAGCTGTGTTCTGCAAAATATTGGGATATCATGATGCCTTATGTTCCAGTTACTCGCTCATGTGGGCTGCATCTGCTAGGGAGTAGCGTTCTTGCCTTCCTGAGTGTATGGTTGTACCCAACATGTGCAGAAACAGTGTTCAGTTTCATGTTACAGCTTCAAGCCCTCCTGCTGATAACAAAGTGTTCGGATCATGGAACTCTGAGTGCAGCTACAGCTACTAAAAAGCAGTTCGGAATCAACAATAGTTCCTTGATACAATCTGATGTTACAGGTACAACACGATCAAGAGACAAACGTCTTATTTGCACTCCATGGAGTTCTTGGGTACTTTGTCTCATGTTAGCTGATCGAGGGGAAACAGAAGAAAGGGTACATGTCTTTGATCCCAAGCCTGGTTTACTCTGTTGCTCTTCTCTCGCTCTTTGTACTAGTGAATGCCAGACCAACTTGATTCCGCGAGAGATAGTTGCTGGCATTTGGTCTTCTCACAACTATGAGTACAAGGGTGCATCTGGACACTTACACTTCACATGCAAGTTTTCTCGAGATAGTTCAGTTGGCCGCTTTCCCTTTCAGTTCCTTATACTTCTCCAGACTTGCAGAATTGAGATATATTTCCCTGGGATCCATTGCTCACTGTTGCTATGGTGGTTCCCATCTGATACAAGATCAATTCATGAATGGACACCTCGTATCACAATGTATAAGCAGGTGCGGATGTTCATAGGATGGCTCAATTATGTGATGAATCATCAATCTCAAGGCAGCATAGGAATTGCAGTCATATTGTTGCAACATCTCCAGCCTACTAACCAGCTGCTCGATTCTTTCTGGTCATGGGCACAAGCAAAAGGAAAGGTAGACCACTACACAAGTTATGTGCGTGAGTGTTCTTGCTATCTTTTATCTATCATTTTCTCTGGGTATCTGGTCAGTGGAGGGCCCAAATATTGCACTTGCCTGCTTGCTTTCAAGGACACTGGTTGGTTCAGATGTATCATGTGTGTCCACAAGATGTCCTACTCTGCAGTTGCAACTCCTTTTGGCAGTGAAATCAAGTTCTGTTCCTCTGATCTGACCATTTGCAAGCGCATGATACTACCCTATAATCCAGGAGGGTTGGCTCTTCAGCCAGATGAGATAGGAGGCACTCATGGGTCCAACTTGATCATCATCGGCTTGAGGGCAAGCCGAATTTCAAGGGGTGGAGAGTGTAACACCCCCAATATGGGCTGCCACATTATGTATGTAACATGGGCTTTGGCTACGAGATGGGCTGGTCATCGGAGGCTTGGTCGCACACACAAGCTACATATGCAACCGGCAAGCACAGGAGGAGGGCATCGAAGGAATAAATCGTTCTCCAAGTCTCTCGTCCCCTGGCTCCAGTTCCTCACCTCCTGCTCTCTCTATTCCTCTCTTTGCTTGCTGATTCTCACCCCCGATTCTCCCTGTATCCCCCAATTTATACCCGAATATTGGTACTAATCCAGTTGCTCGTCCCATCCTTGAGTCTGGGTCGTGACAAAAAGCCCCAAACATACAGCAAATTTACTGAGATAGTCAGGACAGTGCCATGGCCATTAGAGTTCTGTGGGATTTGTGCATAGCACAGATGCATACGTACTGAATATAATGGGATAACAGTATCGTGGCAATTTCATATAGAACATAAGTAATGGCAAAATACCCTTCATCTTACATAATTTCTCTGTGGATTCTTGTCTTCCTTCGAAAAACCAGGAACCGTCAGATGCCAATTTCTCTCTGCATGAAATCAATACTGAATATATAAGCACAAAAAATTGCTTGCACCACATGAGAGAGAGAGAGAGAGAGAGAGAGAGAGAGCATACGCAAGTGCAGCAACACATCCTTGGCTTCCAGAACGGATGACTTCCTGTGCTTTGCCAGGGTACACGCAAATGCAGTCACCTAGTGACAAACCCAAGTCAGGCAAATCACAAGATTCTCCAGCAGATAATTATGACCAAAACCAGAAGAAAACACTACTATAACTCTGAATCGAATACAGGACGATCTACAAAGAATGAACAATACCGATTCAATGAAGTCATCAGCAATCTCTAAAACCAAATCTTCCACTTCTGGATCAAGTTTGCCAAGGGGATCCACCTGAAATAAGGATTTCAAATTCAAAGACGGACCAGAGTACAGTCAGCCACAAACTGAACATGCATTTTTCCTGAAAACATTCATCACATCTCGCCAACGATATATAAGTTAAAATGCATGTTCCCAGAAAAGGGGAAGCCGTTAATTACCTGTGCAACCAAATCTTGTATTTTTCTCTTCCCGAGAAGTTGGTTAGTTCCTTCTGCTCCTTGACTTCCACTTCCACCAGCCATAGTCCCCCCTGACAAAGGCGTGCCCGGCTGCGATCCTGTCAGGTTTGCAGACTTCTGGGAGCCAGATGCTGACATCCTTGGAGATTGTTGCTGTTGCTGCTGCTGAAGCTGCTGCATAATGTGCTGCTGTTGCAACAACTGCTGGGCATTGAGATGTGGTGTGTGCTGCTGTTGGGCTTGTGCAATCTGGTGTGGAGTCAGTCCTGTTTTCTGAAGCTGTTGCATCAATAGCATCCTTTTCTGCTGCTGAATTTGATGTTGAGATGGTGAGGCCAAAGATGATTGCATTTGCTGCAACCACTGCTGCTGTTGTTGCGAAGGTGACATTTGCATCATCTGCCCATTTTGTGACACTCCAGGCAGTTGTGAGTTTAATCCTGTGATCGATGCTGTTCTCGACAAGCCTTGAGCAACTCCCTTCTGATAAATGGACCGATATCAAATTTAGGTTGTGGTCCATGGCAAAAATAAACTACCGCATAACATGAAAGCCTTTGCAAAACTGAGATAAACAAGTGACTATGGCAGCATGCAACATGTGGATAGCAGATGAGATAAACCCTGGCTATGAGAACTCGTGCTCATGTAACATGGAGCAACAAAAAACATGAGTAAGCACACACAATATCTCAACTTCTGTTTGGTTCATTCCTTGTGCCATAAGAATTCCTTTTGCTTAATCATAGCATCCAAACACTAGAACCACCACGAGGCCATGGACAGATATTACACCCAACATACTTGAGAAAAGAATGCAAGGGAACCAGATAATTGCTTTCGCTTATACAGATCAAAAGTCATTAGAGGTACCTGTGGAGATAGTGCGGCTTGTTGCTGCGGCCTCATTTGGGCCTGGGCAAAGCGTTGTTGAGCATATGGAATAGTTCCATTTGGTCTCATCTGGTTCATCCCCAAAGTACCCATGACTCCCATGGATTGCATCCCTTGCAACGCTTGAGCTGCGTTGGCAGTATTAAATTGTGCACCTTGTACCATGCCTTTTTGCCTTGGCTGCAGTAACAGGAAAGGTTAATTACACTGCAAGGCAACCAGCTGCAGGTAGACAGCAAAGACAAGTGTTAAAAAATGGAAGACCTTACTCTGGGGCTAGAAATTTGGTCTTTATTTATTTATGAGCATCTAGTCTTGAATTCTTACAAGCATAATGACCAACATTTACTATTCAAATGAGTTGCCAGGAGATTCTAGGTGTAAACGAGATGTTCACTTTTATTTAATTTGCAATTGCAATGCACCATCGCACCCAATAGGTGGCATCCTTCCCTCTCTACATGCCATGGGAGCAACAAATGACTTTAAACGAATTCAAAATTCCGGATCCATGAACCATTTATTTTTACCCCATCTGGTCCTCTAAAAGCTGTCGTTCTGGACACTGATACAATCTTCAAAATACAACTTTGATTATTAGTTTCTATTATAATATACTATTTATTTATCAAATACAATACGGTTGTACATCGTGGTATTTTTGGAGGCAGATGCCGACGAGTACACTAAAAAGTTATAACCAGACTCACATCACACGTAAATAGCTATATGATTTTCAATCCTATTCTTGCACGTTTAATTTTATCCAGACATTTGGATGGATTCCCTATAAGATGATATAAAACTGCCTCCATGTATGAATGTTACACAAATGAAGTGATAAAAAAACAAGCAATGTCTAACCACAATTAATCATGATCTTCCAAGAAAAAATGATTTGTAATTAAAGGCACAGTTTCCCCCTCTTGTTACAAGTGGCATTTATGCATGATAAGGCTAATGTGTGATATTCAGATTACTTAGAACCCAAACCCCAACTTCACCTGTGCCATCATCTGTGACTGGAGCCCATAGTGTGCAGCAGAAGCCGCGCTGCCCTGCCCTTGCATCATCCCCAGCTGCCCCTGACCAAGCATTGCGCGGGCCGCCAGCTGCTGCTGCTGCCCCAGCTGCGCTCCGCCACCTGAGAAGCTCATCTGCCCTCCGTACATCCTGGCCGTTGCCGCGGAGTACTGTGGAAGCTGGCCGGCAGCGGCGAGGCGGGAAGCCGAACCCGAGCGCTGGATCTGGCCGTAGCCTCCGGCGCCGGCCACTGGCTGCGTGGGCGAAGGCGCCTGCAACTGCTGCGGACGAGGCGGGAAGTCCGCGGACCCTCCGCCCGCAGCTGCCGCGGCTGGATCGAGCTGCGGGGAGGAGATGACGGAGAGGTCGGAGACGGTGGGGGAGGGGGGGATTTGGGGGGACAGGAGGGAGTTAGGGTTGGAGTTTTGCGGGGCGGAGGCTGAGCCGCCGAGCTGGTCGGGCTGCGGCGAGGTGATGGCTGCTACGGACGGCGGATCCGCCATGGCGGGCGGGGTGTAGGGTTTCCGCGGGCGACGGTGGCCGGAGACGACGCGGGGTGGACGGTCGCGTGGAGGGCCGGGGAGTAGGTGCCGGTCGTGTGGGACAGTTTGACGTGTGCGCGTAGTCTTTTCCTGATCGAGTCAGAAAGTATTTGGGTCACTGACAGATTGGCCCACGCGATCGTTTTTCTTTTCAGAGCACCAGCCATACGAACGGCGCGCAAATCCATGGACGCTCACCGTCTTCCTCGGTGGTGCACCTTTAGTTATCTTTTGAGAAAGAGCGTCTTCCTCGGTGGTGCACCTTTAGCTATCTTTTGAGAAAGCAAACGTGCATACTCTTTGAGGTAATAGCACCCGGATCCTACAACTTACATAAAATGTGATCAGTGGCGAAGCTAGCATGAGATTACACCTAGGGCTAGCTAGCTTGAGTGATACACTCTAGTAGTTTTATATGTTGTGTATGAAAAGGAATTACAAAGGATATTGGTATTACGCTTAGGGCTATAGCCCCAACTGCCCTAGGCTTGTCTCCGCCACTGAATGTGATGTTTTGCTCTAAAATTCACAAAAGTGAACTGAGCCCTCCCACAACTTGCACTCTATGTGATGTTTTAGTCCAGAGCCAACCGCAGCGCGACAGGTGGCACTCCGGGGGCGGATCGATCATCGCTTGATACTTTTTCACAAAGCCCCATGCATTTCTCTGGAATCAACCCGCACTTCTCTACCTGAATTAAATTCACTGGACTCCTGTTGAGATCCGTTCGATGCCGACCAGGTAGGTTCTGTCCTATTGGGGGCGACAACAGTGGCGATTGGCTGATGACGTGAGCCATCACGGCGTCGTCGCCGGAGTTCGTCGGCGGCATGGAGCCACCTCCTCCCGCTCATCTCGATCGCCCGCTCGGCATCATCCCTTCAGACTATGGTGAGCCTTTCGCCTCGCGCCCGTTCCTCATCACACATGTACTCTGGTCGCCGTCAACAACATCGCCTTCGTGTCGGTGTGTCTAACGGTGGATTGAAGGTTGAGTGGTGTTACGGTGCAGGAAAGCTAGGGTTTTGGCCGCTGAGCTTAGGTTG